TGGGCCTGCTCGTCGACCCAGGGATTAAAGAGATGATCCCAGAGCCCCTCTGGCCCCACCACCTGCAATTCCAGGGATCAGGTGCTTGCCTTGGACTCTGTGCCTAGAGATCGGCTCATTCAGGAAGAATGCCCAGGGTCTGTGAAAATGGAGTTCTGAATTATCTGTGGATGGGTGGCTTAGATAAACACTAGTTTACGCTTATCCAGTCAAACCATTTTGTGGGGCGCCGCAGCAAAGTAGAACTCTTGTTGGGATAGCGTGGTGAAGCGTCGTCTTCTAGAGCACACGCAGCGCACCTCGGAGACCGTGTCCTGACCCCGAGACGTCCTGACCCCGAGAAGGTGCGCGTAAAGGAATGAGCTCGGCTGTGACCAGAGGGAGTCCTTGGCCTTTTCCCCCTAGAAAATCGTTGCTTTTATTTAATACTACTTTAGTCACTTCTCCGCAATATAGAATGTGGGGTTCGCTTTTATTTGATATTGTTTCAAATCTCTTCTCAGATTCATTTCACAAATACGTTAAAACTCAATGATACCATTATGTTTACTAGAATTATTTGAAAAATATTAGAAAGAAAGTCTCTTCAATTGGACAATTTATTTTTTCAGTCAGAATACTTGCTATTTTGGGCCAGCCAGTGGAGGGGTGATTGAGGCAGTTGGATCCCACATGGCCGACTACATGGTTTGAATCCTGGACCCGGCAGCTTGAAAGAAACACCAGGCACGTGTGCATATGTGTGTCCCCAAAGTGTTGACAGGAGAATGGGAGAGGCATTGTGGTGTTGCCATCTCACTTTCCCTCTCTCCCTCTCTGTGTCTCTCCAGTGAGCATATGTGCCCTGCAACAAATTTAAAAAAAAAAAAAAAAAAAACTTGCTATTTTATATCGGAAGAACTATAGTTATCAACAAAATGAATATTAAACTCTTTTAACTATAAAATGTGAATTTCTTTTAAAAATAATGTTTAGGAACCTGCAGATGGCATAATGGTTATGTCGCTGGACTCCCACGTAGTTGACTACATTTCGAGTCCTGGGCCCAGTGGCTTAAAACTCACACAGTGTCGCCGGGCGCGTGTGCGTACATGCCCAAGATCCCGAGAGGAGAATGGAGGAGAAGGGATTGCTGGAGGAGAAGGGATTGTGGTGTGGCCATCCCCCCTGGGGAGTCTCGCCTCGCTTTACGTCTCTCTGTCTCTCTCTGTCTGTCTGGCGAGCACACACACCCTATAGCAAAAAAAAAAAAAATACTCTCAAAACTCACACAGTGTGCATGTGCATGCACACCTGCCCAAAATCCCAAGAGAATGGAGGAGAAGGGATTGTGGAGTGGCTAACCCCCCAGAGGGTGATTTCTCACTTTCTGTCTCTCTGTCTCTCCGGCAAGTACACGCACCTTATCGCCAAAATCTCTCTCCGATAAAATAATAATGATAATAATAATTTTTAAAACAATGCATTATCTTGTTCAAGTGCATAGGATACCCTGACAACTTATTTGCAGGTGCTCAGAGAAGCACGTCCTCGACAAGGTTGACTGTGTGTTTGTTGGGGTCTCAGAAGCCCGCTGAGCTGATTCACGGCTTTGACAAGTGCTCACCTTCTGTGCTCAAGGCAGCCGGAGGCCAGTTCTGGGAAAGCAGGTACAGAGATCTGGGCAGTAGCCTCCTGCCTTCAAGGCCCCCAACAGTGGAGATAAGTTGCGTGTAAAAATAGCTCCAAAGGCGATCGTTCCGGATTGGGTTTAAGAGACAGCTGAGTGTTACGGATTTGGTGGTGGCTGAGCAGGAATCTGCCTGGGTAATCTAGTGCCAGCTCATCGGATCTACCCTGGTGGCATTATGCAAGATCTGTTTTTGTTCTGTTTTGATTTGTTTTAGGTTTTAGTTCTAAGGTACATGTGCTCACCGGGAAGAGGCAGAGAAAGAGAGGGAAAGTGTGAAGTCACCCCCCCTCCAGTGGGATGGCCACGCCACAGTCCCTTCTCCATTATCCCCTCTGGACTTTGGGCACCCACACACACACATGCATGCCCAGCGTGATTTTTTAAGCCGCTGGATCCAGGACTTGAACCATGGTCAACCATGCGGAAGTCCAGCACTTTAACAACCATGCCACTTATTGGTCCCCCTAAGACCTGTTTTTATAGACTCATGATCAGAGCTTTCTCTCTTTTTTTGTGTGTGTGTGTGATTTTTACAAATACTGTTTATTTTCATGAAGCTGGTATTGGTGATGTCTATTTAAAACCCATATCCCAGGGACCAGCAGTTAGTGTAATGGCTATGTTGCTGAACTCCCACATAGTCGACCGCAGTTCTAGTCCCGGACCCGGTGGCTTAAACTCACGCTGGGCGCATGTGCGTGCGTGCCCAAGATCCTGGGAGGAGAATGGAGGAGAAGGGATTGCGGCGTGACCATGACCCCTGGGGGGTGATTTCTTGTTTTCTCTCTCTCTGTCTCTCTCTGTCTTATTGGCAAGCACACGTGCCCTATAGCAAAAATCTCTCCAAAGAAAAAATATATATACCAGGCCAAAAAGTACAAATAAAATAAAAAAGAGCAGTGTTCTGTTGTATACACTTCTGCATGAATAATTTAATTAACTGCTAATGGAAATGAAAACTTTTCTGGGATCTTCTGACAAGATTTTTTAAATCTTAAAAATGCATTGTCTTTAGGGCCAGTAGGTAGTGTGGTGGTTAAGGGCACTGGACCCCTCCCACATGGCTGACCCTGGTTCCAGTCCCGGACCTGAAGATTTGCGCGCTCTCTCTCTCTCTCTCTCTCTCTCTGTCTCTTTCTGGTCAAATTAAAATAAATAAATAACATAAATAAAGTTTGAAAATAATAATAATTCTTTAGAAAAATGCATTCTCTTCAGTGAAGCCATCTTTGGAGTTAGATAACATTCTCCATATCTGTCATCTTGACCCCAATCTGATGTTCCTTTTCTTTTTGGTCCAGACCCTCAGATTTTAAACATAGTTTTAAACTAAGGAAAGGTCATTTTTCCACAGTTCAGTTATCTGAAAAACTTCCATCTCCCACCGGAAGTCCTAGCCCAGAAGCGAAGCCATCACACTGAACTTCAGGGCCAATTGGACAGCCACTGTGAACTCTCGCATCGGCCCTCTTATTTGTCACCACGAGCCTGAAAATGCAGACTGCAGCTGGTGTCCTTTCTGCTCACACGTGAGACTTTAATAGAGGACAAAGCCTGCGCAGGGGACAGAGCTCGAGGCCAGAAATCAGCACAGTGAAGCAACCGACTACAAAGACCCAGGGTCGGGGAGCCGGTGCTCAGCTCCACTTTGAACACTACATTACAAATGAACTATTTTTAAAAATAAAGATTGAGGGAAAAGAAAATGGAAATCGAAACCATTAAATGACGCCTGTTTGTTCCTGATGAACTTCAATCTCATCTTCCTCTTCCATTCCCAGTTCTCGTGGAGGATGATTATCAGTAGTTCTCTGACCTTCCGAGAGAAACCTGAGTTCAGTGGAACTCGCTGTCTTTGACAGTACAACTCTCACTGCTGTCCTGTCCGGCAACTTTTAATGTAACGTAAACGCCTTCCTTTTTCTCCCCGAGGCCTCAGTTGAGGGTGACCGACCTCCTGGTTGGTCACGGCGGTAGTGGCTTCCCCTGGGGGTCTCCGCACAGCCGCTGTCTCAAGTAGGCAGGACCTCCCTCCCTTGGGGTTTCAATCAGATCTCTTTGAAAAGGGCCAAAATGTCACGTAACATGTTGTGATGTCTGTTTTATAATGTGCCTAAGTACCAGCTTCCTATTCTAAAATCCTCTTTAAAATTCCCAACTGAAAGCGCGTAGGTGAGTTAGGGAGTGCTTTTCCCGATCCGTTTTTATCCCTCGGGTGGCGAAGGATGGAGTCTATATTAGGAAGAGGAGCACTGCCGAGGGAGCAGGGGAGAGGCCCAGCCGCTCCCATCTCCGTGACGTGGTCTCTTCCTCCGCAGCACGATCTGGGGAAGGGACAGGCGGAGGACGCAGCCTGCCCTGAGAGGGTCGTCCTCCAGTGAGGACCCATCTTTCTGGGCCTAGACCTTCTCTCAGTCTCCCCTGCAAGGGTCACTGGAGAGCTGTGTCGCCGCAGAAAGGCCAGGGACTGTGTGGTGTTGAATCCTGGCAGCAGGGCCTCATGTCTGAAACCAAGTTTTGTGCTTCACGTAATTTTAGGGAACTTAAATTTTAAAGGCTTCCATATAAGAACACTGAAGTTCTAGGCCAGGAAGCTGCGGCCCTACTGAGCTTTCACGTGAGCCCTTCCCAGGCTGCAGTGTCCTCTCCCCGCCCCCACCGAGTCAGCGCCTTGGCTCCTCTGCCACCCCCAGGTGAAGCCCGCAGGGGGCCGGGTGGTCCCTCAGTGTTCCCACTGCAGAGTGGCCTGGAAGAGGCGCCCGGGCACTGTGTGTGAGCAGGCACCGTGTTCGAGCGGGCACTGTGTGCGAGCGGGCTGTGTCGGGCTGGGGGCTCACCAGAGCGCAGTGACCAGCTGTGCCTGGAAGGCCACCTGTGGCCCCGATGCCAGCCCAGGCCTCAGCAGCTGCAGCGGCTTCCCTGGGAGCCAGCAGACTCCGACCTCACAGCTAACCTGGCCCCTGGTCAGGCATTGTGCCTGCCTGCGTCCACCGATTTTTCCGTTGGGAATGATTTACCAGGCAAGAAAGTTGTCGTGTTTTGTGACGCATTTGGAGACCTTGTATGAAAACAAGCCGTTGGCTGTTTGTTCACGCGGAGGGGTTGGCACCAGGGGTGAAGGTTTGTTTGGGCCGGGCCCTGCACCCTCCGGTCTCCAAAGAGTTAAGCCCAGGGAGTGTGACGTCAGCCCCGGCATCCGATCTTTGGCTCCTGCGGGAGCAACCTGATGCCGCTCTCCTCGGCCCGTGCTCATTGGCTGCTGGCAGCGCTTACCGTGGGCGGGGTTGGTTTTTTTTTTTCTTTTTTTTCCCATTTAAGTAAAAGGGCAGGGCCTGAGCAGCCAATGACGGCGAGACCCGGTATATCTTGTGCCAGTTTCCCGGGACAGACGGCGTCCCCATTCTCAGCAACGCCGCCAGAACTTGCTCCCGGCCACCATGCTCTGCCTGTGCCTGTATGTGCCGCTCATCGGGGAGGCCCAGACCGAGTTCCAGTACTTTGAGTCCAAGGGGCTGCCGGCCGAGCTGAAGTCCATCTTCAAGCTCAGTGTCCTCATCCCCTCGCAGGCGGTCTCCACCTACCGCCAGTGGAAGCAGGTCTGTGGGGACACAGGGACGTGGGCCCCC